CGTCTTTGGGTTGCTGCTGCTTGGGCTACACACCGCAACCTCAAAGGCACCATGTGCCATCGAGCCACGAAACCCGCGCCAAGCTCTCACTGGACCACATAGCAAGGAATGGCGTGAGGCAATGGACGCGAAGATCAAGGCGCTCGAATCCCGAGATACCTGGGTTCTAGTCGACCGCGCAGCGATTGAAGGCGCGAGGGTTCTCTCGGGGAAATGGGTCTTCCGCGTGAAGACCGCAGCAGACGGAACGATCGAGCGCTTCAAGGCGCGATGGGTGGTGCGCGGCTATGACCAGAGGCACGGGATCGACTTCGATCAAACGTTTGCGCCAGTCAGTCGCCACACCTCCGTCCGAATCCTGCTTGCTATCGCAGCCGCTAGACACCTGCCCCTGCACCAAATCGACGTGAAGAACGCGTTCCTGTACGCGTTAGTGGACGCTGTGATTTACGTGGAGCAGCCATACACTTACGGCGAAGGGGATTCGCGCGTATGCCAGCTGCGCAAATCCCTCTACGGGATAAAACAGGCACCGAGGCTTTGGCAGCAGTACCTGACAACATTCTGCTTGAAATCGGGTTCAAGCAGATGCCGCATGATCCAGGGATGTACCGCAGTGATTTCCGCGGCGAATACATCCTACTCATGGTCTACGTCGACGACCTGCTTTACACAGGATCAAGCAACGAACTACTGGAGCAGTTCGAGAGGAGTCTGGCGGGGTGCGTCGACATCACCTGCAACTACGAAGTGAAGCAGTTCCTAGGCCTGAACATCTCCTACGCGCCAGAAGCCATTCACCTCTCAGCGGCTAAGTATGCAGAGGAGTTAGGGAAGCGGTTCAACATCTCACCTGCACCACTCTCTACTCCCTACCGAACCCCCGGACCGAACCACAAACCTGACAACAAAGCCCTATCCCCCGCTGGCATTCAGACTTACCAGCAGCAGTTGGGATGCCTGCTCTTCGCCTCTGTCACATGCAGGCCCGACCTCTCCTACATCGCAAGTCAGCTGGCCCAATATTCATGCAAACCAACAGCTGAGAATGACCTAGACCTGCAGCGCGCCCTACAGTTTTTCGTCTCAACGCCCAAGATTGGACTCTGCTATTCAACAGTACCGACTCCGTCTTTCAACCTCATCGGCTACGTGGACGCCGATCACGCAGCAGATCCCGATAATCGACGGTCCAGGACTGGCTTCCTGTTCCGACTCGAACCAACGGGACCAATCTCCTGGAACTCGCAGAAACAGGAGCTGGTTGCCCTGTCATCAGCCGAAGCGGAATTCATCGCAGCAACCGAGTGCTGCAGTTCGCGAAGGCCTCTACTTACAAAAGCTCCTGCAAGAGGCGAAAATTCCAGCATCACCTACCTTTCGCCTCCACTGCGACAACCAGAGCGCGATCCGCATCGCAAACAAGCCCGGCTTCGTGAACCGCACCAAGCACATTGCACTGCGGTACTTCTTCATCAAAGACGAAGTGGACAAAGACAAGGTTGACTTGACCAACTGCCAGACACGAGACATGGCAGCAGACTTCCTTACCAATCGTCTGCCACGCCAGCAGTACTAACACTGCTCCGAACTCAGCGGATTGGTCAAGCAGGTCAAGTCGAGCTATGGCCAGGAGTGAAGGGGGGTGTTACGAATAGTAATGAGAACATTACTGTACACTCCCGACCGCAGCTAAGGAAGCATGCAGTATCGAGAACGAACGCGAAGAGTTTGAAGTGACTCGAAGCGTCAGACGGTTGAGGTGCATCTGGACCGTCAGAGCAGACGGCATTGGGCAGCTACAGGCAAGAGGGATTTGGCGGGAACAGTTTCATAACTGTACGCGCCGCACGGTTGGGAATGAATTTGAATAAGGGAATGTACCCCTTAGAGTACATGGCTAGCTAGGTCGATTCGAATTCCCTGTACTCTTATTTATATCGATGTATTTGCATGTTTCAAATTATCTCAAGCATTTTATATTCACTCTGCTATTGAGGTCAAGGGCCCACCAACACTATCTACCTGCGTGCGAACCTTCCCGAGTAGATCCTGGCAGTGATCATCTCTTCATCGCAGCAGTGATTACAATGACTAGTTAGGTTGCGATAACAGCAAGTAATCAAAAGACGTTTGCCTTTGAAATCGATACTAAAAGTCAGAAGTTCAACTTTGGACTTTTCTTCATATTGTACTATTCTGATTGGAATTCAAAAATGTTCAGAAGTGTCCATGTGGCATGACGATCCATAGCGAACCCTCGTACACGTATCTTCTCTTTATTCACCATCAATCTAACTGTAAAATGACATCCTTTTTCAATGATGCCTACAAGGTCTGTACTCTTTGGTACAATGTTAAGAATCAAGAAATGAATATCTCCATTATCACCAATCTTCCCATCAAAAATGTTCAGTAGTGTCACCTCTTCATGCAAGAAAGTTTTCCATTGTCGATGAAATAACGACGATCAAATGGAAGTTTCTCCTTCGTCTTTAATCCTCGATACTTCAAGACAGCAAATTGACGTGCCCATGCCGCATGACAATCTGTAGCGAACCCTCGTACACGTATCTGCTCTTTATTCACCATCAATCTAACTGTAAAACGACATTCTTCTTCAATGATGCCTACAAGGTCTGTACTCTATGGTGCAATGTTATGAATCAAGAAATGAATATCTCCATTATCACCAATCTTCCCATCGAAAATGTTCAGTAGTGTCACATCTTCAAGAACGTTGTCATCAGAACTAGATCGTACATCATGTGTTCTAGTGCTTGGCGTTGTATCAAACTGATTATATGTAGATGGCAAATCCACGTTTTGTGGAACGTAACGCTCTTTTTATCCGAGTCAGGTTCAACACCCAGCACGACCTCAAATGATACTTCAAAAAACGCAGATGGCGTTACTATGTTTCGTTCGGTGGAAAGATCGATGATATTTGTCACATGCGATTCAATTGGTGCACTTGATTCAAGAGAAAATGAAGTGCCCCAAATTTCGCCTTCATCGCATCCTTCAAGAAGGGTGTAATGGTTACTAGATAAGCAAAGATGAACTTAATTAACATTTTTAAGAAATTTCACTCCTTCGCATTGCACCCATTTGTGAGGATCAAACCAAATAATCACGGCCATGTTCATCGTACTCGCGCGAGAGACATGATCGAAAAACAGGCAGTTGACAGATTGAGTCCCACGAACCACCCTTGCACACTCTGCGAGAGATGTGCAAAGGATCCTTGATTTTAGCAACGAGAGACGCTATCTTCTCCTTTTTTGTTGTCATCACGAGTGTGTCCACACTACTCATCCTGAATATGAAAAACGAGAATATTACTAGCGAGCGTCTTAATTATATACTGTTAATATGCGCTAGTATGTCTACTTACAGCTGCACGAGGCCGATGTCTTGTGGTTCCTCTGTGACATGAGCATCTGTGATCTCCAGCGCTCGTCGAGGGTCAAGAATGACAGCGCTGGAAAGCATTGTTGTCGTGAACAATGTTGACTTTAGATAGACGTTGCTAATGTAAACTGGCACGTTTGTAGCATCACTGTGCTCGTCCAACTATGTCTTACAGCACTGGTGAATCTGGATACCAGGACGCTGCGTAGTGACGAATCGAGAATGCAAGCTGTAAGCTTAGGCAATCCACCCGGCGACTCAAATGAAGGGGCACTGAGCCTGACAGAAATGCAAGGGATCTGGGAATGTAGAAAAGTAAAATATAACATCATGAATATCGAACACATGCATTTACAACTCAATAAGTGGTGATATGACAAATGATCATCTGCAATGTTAGAACATCAACAAAACCAGATGAGCCAAAACTATACAGAAATTATGCTAAGCAGTATCAGACGATTTTCAGTTGGAAACATGAAAAAGAAGTGGCACTATGGTTTGAATATTAGTACACATTTTAAACATGAACACAACCAATTCGTTCAGGGTAATGAATTTGTTCTTACCCTGGAGTCGTATTTCGGCCCAAAGAAACTCATGAGCGTCGGAGTGGGCACGTCCCCCACGGTCAAATGCAATCCTCCCCTATCCTCCACCATGTATGAACAGCGGTATAGCCAGAGCAAGTGCAAATCAAGGCCTCCAATGACAGACCTGTACAAAATTACATGTATTAAAACCCGAAGCCTGAATTACAAAAACGAGTCAACGCTAGGCTTGGGGTGGGTTGGGGGTAAGCAAGCAGAGGTTCGGAAGTTTAACAAAAGATGCATCCTAGCGAAAACAAAGTGCGACGGCCTAGTGTCGCTACCACACAAACAACTCGAAAGGAATGTGCCTGCACAAGTCAGTTGAAAGTGAACAAAAACACCTCGACAGTAGTCACCATGTTAGAACCTTATAGTCAGACTTCAAGTAGGTGTTAGTCAGCAACCGACCACGACGTCTCCTTACCATCCGCGTTTCCCCTATATTACGCACGCAAATTCAAGCCCCGTCGGGAACAATTTAGGCCTACAGCACGCGCAGTTTTGATACCCGGCGAAGCCCGCATTTAGCCTTCCCGTCGCCCGCAATTAGGTATTTCGTCGCGTGAGGGTGCCATTCCCGTAACGCTAATTTTCCCTACCCGTCACACGCATGTCCCGTGCGACCCGCCAGCATTTTTCCTACGATTCGCGCGAAGCATTTTACCTTCAAGCCACCGGCATTTCCCCGTCAATTCAGTCGCATTTCCTTATCGATGAGCCAGCTATAGGCGATTCCGCCGCCAAAATTTCAGGTTCCCGTCGACTGCAGATCCCCTTCTTGTTGGCCGCATTACCCTTACCCGTCGACCCCACATCCCTTTTCCGTCGACTACCACTTCTTGCCTTCCCGTCGTCCGCAGCACACAGCAATGTCTCCCGTGAAAGGTCAGCTTCTCACCTCTCCTCATCTGTCTCGATGCCACTAAGCTGTTGCGGAATCACTTCCACAGCGCCCTCACACTCTACTATTGCACTGCGCCCTCACACTCTACTATGGCACAGCTCCCTCACACTCCCCCCGTCCCTCATCTCCCCGTCCCTCATCTCCCCATGCCTCTCCTCCTCATCCCTCATCTCCCCATCCCTCACCTCCCCGACCCTCATTTCCCCATCCCTCTCCGCGGCATCTCTCATATCCCCATCCGTCACCTCCCCATGCCTTACCTCCCCACCCGTCATCTTACCATCCCTCATCTCCCCATGCCTCTTCTCCCCATCCCTCATCTCCCCATCCCTCTTCTCCCCATCCCTCATCTCCCCATCCCTCTCCACCCCATCCCTCATCTCCCCATCCCTCATCTCCCCATGCCTTATCTCCCCGTCCTTCACCTCCCCATTTCTCTTCTCCCCATCCCGGAATCTCCCCATCCCTCACCTCCCCGCCCCTCATCTCCCCTTCCCTCGTCTCCCAATCCCTCTTCTCCCCCGTCCCTCATCTCCCCGTCCCTCACCTCTCCATGCCTCTTCTCCCCATGCCTCATCTCCCCATCCCTTATCTCCCCATCCCTCATTTCCCTGTCCCTCATCTCCCCATCCCTCTCCTCCTCATCTCTCATATCCTTATCCGTCACCTACCCATTCCTTATCTCCCCATCCCTCATCTTTCCATCCCTCATCTCCCCTTCCCTCATCTCCCCATCCCTCATCTCCCCATCCCTCTCCTCCTCATCTCTCATATCCCCATCCCTCACCTCCCCATGCCTTATCTCCCCATCCCTCATCTTACCATCCCTCATCTTACCATCCCTCATCTCCCCATCCCTCTTCTCCCCTTCCCTCATCTCCCCATGCCTCATCTCCCCATCCCTCATCTCCCCATGCTTATCTCCCCATCCATCATCTCCCCATCTCTCTTCTCCCCATCTCTCTTCTCCCCATCCCGGGTTCTCCCTATCCCTCACCTCCCCATCGCTCATCTCCCCTTCCCTCGTCTCCCAATCCCTCTTCTCCCTGTCCCCATCTCCCCGTCCCTCATCTCCCCTTGCATCTTCTCCCCATCCCTCATCTCCCCATCCCTCATCCCATTTCCCCATGCTCATTCTGATCTGACTAAATTTTATCCAATTTCCATGACACATGCTCTAGATCATTCCCCCTTCTATGATCGTAATCCCCCCTGCTCACTCTATTACCTCCCTTCACTCACCACATTCCCCCCTGCTCAATCTCATTTCAATTGCACGCATCCCATTCACCCCCCTGCTCACACTCCTTCCCCCATCTTTCAACCCATTTCCTCCTTGTTCCCTCATCTATTATCTTTTTTTTGCCCCTGCTCACTCTGATTCCCCCTTCTCGCATCCCACTTCCCCCCTTCACACTCTCGTTCCCCCTTCTAAGTGCCTTATTTCCCCCCTGCGCACTCTCTTCCCACCCTTCACTCACCCCATTTCACCCAGCTCCTTCTCTTTCACTCTGCACTCATCCCATTACACCCCTGCACGTTGTCTTTCCCCTTTCTGTTATCCCATTTCCGGATTCCCCTTTCTATCGTCCCATTTCTCCCTTTCTCATCTCTTTTTCCCCCTTCCTGCGTCACGTTTCCCCCTGCTCATTCTCTGGCCCCCTTCAATCATCCAGTTTCGGCACTTCTCACTCACTTTCCCCCATCACTCATCCCATCCCATTTCCGCCACTCACCTGCTTTCCTTCTGCTCAATCCCATTTCCCCCTTTGCATGTCCCTCCGTCGCACATGCACACTCCCCTTCGTCGCCCACACTCACTCCTCCCCGTCGCGCACACTCTTTCCCCATCCGGTGCCCACGCTCACTGCCCGTATGTCGCACACTCTCACCCCCTTCCGTCGCCCATGCTCACCCCCCTCCCGTCTCCTTCGCTCACTCTCTCCCGTCCCCTTTCTCCCTTCTCATCTCCACTCTTTCTCCCCTCAGGCTAGAGTTGGAGTCAGCGCATGCACCGTATGACAAGGCAGCGGTTTATTTTCAGGTGCAGCGCCATCCCTCACCTCCCCATCCCTCGTCTCCCCATCCCTCATCTCCCCATCCCTCATCTCCCCATCCCTCACCTCCCCATCCCTCACCTCCTCATCCCTCATGTCCCCATGCCTCATCTCCCCATGCCTCATCACCCCGTCCCTCATCTCCCCATGCCTCCCCTCCCCAAGCCTTATCTCCCCATCCCTCATCTCCCATCGCCTCGCCTCCCCATCCCTCACCTCCCCATCCCTCACCTCCCCATCCCTCACCTCCCCATCCCTCGTCTCCCCATCCCTCACCTCCCCATGCCTCGCCTCCCCATCCCTCATCTCCCCATCCCACAACTCCCCATGCCTCGCTTCCCCATCCCTATTCTCCTCATCCTTCATCTCCCATTGCCTCGCCTCCTCATCCCTCACCTCCCCATCCCTCACCTCCCCATCCCTCACCTCCCCATCCCTCATCTCCCCATCCCTCTCCTCCCCATGACTCAACTCCCCATCCCTCATCTCCCCATGCCTCATCTCCCCGTCGCTCACCTCCCCATGCCTCATCTCCCCATGCCTCCCCTCTCCAAGCATTATCTTCCCATCCGTCATCTCCCCATCCCTCATCTCCCCATCCCTCGTCGCCCCATGCCTCATCTCCCCATCCCCCACCTCCCCACCCCTCATCTCCTCATTACTCACCCCCCATACCTCCCATCCATTTCCCCCTTTACTCGACCCACTTACCCCCTTTTCATTATACTTCCCCTATCCTCATCCCATTTCCCCCATGCCCACTCTCTTTCCCTCCTTCACTCTTCCCATTTCCCCTGGCTCACTCCCTTTCCCCCGTCATTCTCCCCGTTGCCCCCCTGCTCAATCTCTGCGCTCCTTGTTTCGTCCCAATTCCCCCCTGCTCACTCTTACTCCCCCCCTTTTCATTCCATCTCGTCAACGCTCACTCTCTCTCCTCCTTTCACACACCCCATTTCCCCCCTGCTCAATCTCATTTCAATTGCACTCATCCCATTCCCCCCCTGCTCACTCTCCTCCTCCCCTTTCCCCATGTGTTCGTCTCATGATCCACCCTCCTAACTCTCCTTCCCCAATCTTTCATCCCATTTCCTCCTTGGTCACTAATTCCCCCTTCTTCTATATCATTTTCCCTCATCTATTGTCTTTTATCCCCCCTGCTCGCTCCGATGCCCCGTTCTCGCATCCCATTTCCACCCTGCGCACTCTCGTTCCCCCTTCTATGATCCTATATCCCCACTGCGCACTCTCTTCATGTTCCTTCACTCACCCCATTTCCCCTAGCTCACTCTCTTTCCCCCTTTACTCATCCCATTTCCCCCCTTCACTCACCTCTTTCCACCCCCGCTCAATCTCCTTCCCATTGCATCATCCCATTCCCCCCACCTCACACTCATTCGCCCTTCTTTCATCCCAACTCCCCCTTGCTCGCTCTTCATCCCCCTTCACTCACCCCACTTGCCCCCTTCTCAATCTCACTCGCCCTGCATTCATCCCATTTCCATGTCACATGCTCATGATCATGAGCCCTTCCATGATCATGTTTCCCCATGCTCACTCACTTTCCCCCCTTCACTCACCCCATTTTAGGCAGCTCCTCTTTCCCTCTGCACTCATCCCATTACCCCCCTGCTCATTGTCTTTCACCCTTGTATGATCTCGTTTCCTGATTCCCCTTTCCTTCATCCCATTTCCCCCCTTCTCACTCTCTTCCACAACGCCCTTACACTCTCTTCCACAGCGCCCTCCCTCTATTTCCCCCATCGCTCGCCCCATTTTCCCCCTTCTCAATCTCTCCCCTCATCGCATTGTACCCATCTCACCTCCCCTCCCCATGCCCATTATTCCCTTCTAACCCTCCTACCCCCTCAAATTTACTCCCTGCTCCACCCATCCCCCTCTACCACTCACTCAACTCACCTCTCCACCACCTCATAATCCCTATCCCGGCGCGTTGACACTCCCTTCCACAGCACCCTCACAATCCCATCCATATTGCCCTTGGGTTCTCAGATCTGAACGCCATCGCATTGCCTACCCCATCGCCCTCAGATTCACAGCCCCCCCACTTCCCCCCATCCCACCTCCCCTCCCTCTTACCACTTATTCTCTCATCGCCCCCAATCCCCATCTCTCCGCCCATCACATTGCACCTGTTTCACCTCCCCTCCCTCTTACCACTTATTCCCTCTCTCCCCCCATCCCCATCTCTCCACCCATCGCCCGTCATTTTCTCCCCCTCCCCTCCTCTTCTCATTCACGCAACTCCCATCCTCATCTCCTCTTCAAACCTTATCCTCATCAAGATGACGCAACCTACGGCGTCGGAACTTTGTCACTTGTTTGATCAACGTCACCATACTGTTCAGTTACAGCTTCGTGCTCATGTCTGCTATCTGCGCGTTGGGCTGAGTGTGCTGATGCTGGGCACAACTACAGCAACACTCTCTGATGTGTTATCGATTTACATGCTGGCAGCACAGAGATTACTAAAAGCTGCTATGAATGCAGGTAATGTGAGGGAAATTGTCAGACCATCCATGGTGACCACTATGGTTCGTACTCAATCTAACGACAAACTTCATGTGTCATACACATTACGTGTGTTACGCATCTCCACATGACACGTCTCCCCCCGTTTACGCTTTTTAACTTCTAAACCCCTCCAAATGTAGGAACCAGGGGCGCTTTGGCCGGGAACATGGTAAAGTTGCATCTTGAGGCGACGGAGAGAGCGTTTTGGAAATGCATGGGTGGGGGGCTTGATGGAGTGGACGATTTGCTCAAACGGCCCGATCGGACTTTGCATGGAGTGACCTACAACTTTCCATTATGGGAGTTGGACCAAAACGGAGTGCCAAGGAGAGTCAGAAGTCAGGGTTCGGACGAGGCTGGTGTTCAGGCTTCGACAAACGTCCAGCCATCTGATGGTGAGAGCGAAGTAGCTATGCAACTATATTGCAACGGTGGCTGGCAAGGAATAACCAATATAGTATAAATTCTTCAACAAACATAGACCCGGCTTGGTGCTTCACCACATATTACAACACATATATTAATACATATCATTGTCAATGCAATTACCAGGTCATGTGTCAAGCCCACCTCCAGTACTTGTCGAGGAGAGAGTTAGTGACACCTCTCCTATAAGCGTGGAACTGGGGAGAGGGTCTGCACCGCCGCCGGGTGCAGAGCGGTCTCAAGATGTAGCTACATCTTGAGATGTAGCCGGGTGGAAAGGGCACGTGACATTCGGGATGGGGACGGTGGTGCGGCGTCATCGCTGGGAAACGCGGGGGGGTTTGGAGGGTCAAATACTTCACCGCATTGCAGATTGAGCGCTGAGCTTGCACGTGACGAGATTGGTCCAGATGAAGAGCCAGACAGGCACATTTTCACATCCACCATCCATTCCTTGCTTATCTCTCTTCGCACATTATTCCTCATCGCTCATCTCACCCCATCTCACCCCATCTCACCCAATCTCCCCTTCCCACCAAGACTCGTCTCACTATCCCTCCCTTCTTTGTGAGAGGTAAGTGCATGTTTATTCACCTACAACACCCTGCTATTCTTGAATTACTAAAAAAATTCATCCCGCCCACACAGACCCGACGCTCCCAGTGTGACGCGGAGCGTCGATGGCTACGTGGATGGTCATCCCCTCCGAACTGGGATGATTTTCCAGGAGATACGGTTTACTTCCTTGAACCGCGGGTGTTAGTTTCATTCTTCAGTGGCCGGGCCTTGGGTTGTTACGCAAGGGTTGGCTGCAAAGGGGAAATGTTGCTGGAGTCATGGAAACGGGCGCGGACGTGTATGGGACACATGTGGTTGTGCAACGTCTGTTCTAAGAGGGTGGAATTTTGGTCAGGTAGCTGAGAGAGGAATGATTTACCGCCTAGCAAGCGCGGACCACGCAGTCCACCATTGATGGGAAAGCTTGTTGGTGCTTTTGCCCTTGCTGGGTTAGGGTACCAGCTGATGTGGGAGGTCTGTCGCACTTTGGGCGTGCCAAAGCCAGGTCATGGGACCTATTACAATTTCATGGGAGGGGATGAAGGGCTGTGGGGTGTCATGATCGAGCAAGCCAAGTGCTGTATGGAGCGTGTTCGAGCGAACGTGGGGTGGGGGCCAAAACTCCGAAAGTGGGCGTGTATAGATGCAAGGTTCTCTAAAGTTCGTGAGGCGAAGTGGTGCACTGTATCGTTCATGGATCGCGAAACTAGAAAGATCTTCCACTACAAAAACGCCAGAAGGGAGAGGGACGGACGGAACTCAGTGGGCCTCGAGAAGATTGCTTTTGATGCCGATATGGATGAGCTTGCTGCAAGTGGATTTCAGGTGGATGGAATTGTCACGGACGAAAGGCAACTGTTACAAAAGTGCGGCGCGGGACAGGGGAGTGATGCATCAAATGGACTGGTGGCATAAGTGTGGTGGCTACATGCGAAGTTTTAGGACAGAGGTACAGGACGCAACGAAGAAAGTGGGATCTGTAGTGGGGGGCAAATGTTGTGAAGATGTGTACGTTATTACAGTATATAATCGATTGGCCTAGCTAAATGACAACTCCAGAGCGCGCTTTCATAAGGGGACGGGGAAGAAGAAGCTTGTACAAGATGTGTGCGCTATGCGTGGAATAGCATTCAAGGACATGGACCCTGCAGATGCCAAGTGGTTGAATCTTGAGCTACAACAAGTGCTGCTGCCACGTGTTAGTCCCGATGCACAACCGATCGAAATAGAAGTGCACAGGGGGTCTATCCCAGACTCAGCGAGTCGAGGTCGTTCGAGCAGTGGTGAGGCTGTTCATTTTGCTGGGACAGAGGAGGTTCTCCCTGACGGGGCAGTCGCAGTCGATATACAATGGCCGGATGTGGAGGAGCTGTGGAGTTACGATGCACACCCAGAATATGGGATACGCCCTGCCTCGCATGCATCATTGGTACTTGTACAGGCGTGGAACGGGGTTGAGGGCATCGACATAGAAGTCGCAGATGACGATCAAGGTAATGATGCTCCTGTGTGTGGACTATATCACTTCACCCAACCCGCCCCCCCTTTTTCCCCCCTTTTGCTACTCGGCATCTCATGCCCCGGAACACTCTTTTTATCCCCCCTTTTCCTATTTATTTTCAGTGCTCCCCATTCCCATTCCCATTATTCCATCACAATCTACCCGACTCCATTGTTTGTTCGTCCTTCAAACTCCCACCTACTGTTTTGCAAACATGCCTCATCTCATTTTTTGTAAACCCTTGCTATTATGCCCTGTCGCATGCCCTGCTCTTTTTCTGTTCTTCCCACACTTCTGTGAGCAGATCAACAAGCGAGGGCACTGCCAGAGGTGTTGCCCACCAGTGCGAGTGGAGTCACACCCTCGACATCCATGGTTGGCGAGGGTGTCAACGTGGAGCCAGCCGCGACAGGTGCGGCAAGAGGAGGGTGGCGGGAGCAATGGTGATGGTGAGGTACAGGCGAGAGGGAAGGCGGTTAGCGTTGTCGATAGACTTGCCGTGCACTTTTATCATTGCATGGTGCGCAGCGGGGTGAAGGCTAAAGAGGGGAACACACGGTCGTCTGAGGATGAGTCAGCTGAGTGATGCCTTGCAATAGACCACTTTGCAGGAGATCATTCTCGATGCGACAGAGGCGGGTCATGTGCACCGAGGTGTGTGACGGGGAATTGGGGTCCGGAATCAGCTGTATATTTGCCAAACTCTCCAACACATCTAGCCGTGCGCGCGTGGATGGCGAAACACTTCAGTCCATCCAAGGTTGCCTGCATTATCGAGGGCGCAACTACCTCAATGAACGAGTCGTTTCATTCGCTCATAATCAAATACGTACCAAAACGCTTCCGATTCGACGTGAGTTATGAGCTGCGAGTTTCCATGGAACCACACTATGGATCGTATTGTGCATGCATATATCATCCGTGCGCGGCGAACTACACGAATAAGACGTGGATGGAGGGATCGAGTGCTTGGTCCTATGGACTGGAGTTGGGTTGACAGCATCCTGAGAGAGTGGAGGCGTCCTTGGACGGAATCTCCTGAACCTGATGAGGAGTCTGCCGACATGGGTGGTACTCCAGCGACTCAGGAGATGGACGGGGCGGCACCAGCTGTTGTGGCCGAGGCATCCGCTGGTCCTACACCCAACACAACAAGCACCAACATTCTCGGTCCACGCCGCATTTTATTCGGTGAGCATAATATGTGCGGGACAAATGTGTACGAGTTATTTCCATTACCGGCCTTGTTCATCTTTTGTGACAAATGCGCAATTCTCATCACTGTGTGCCTTGAGGCTCATCCATCACATACGCATTCATTATACACAAGGCGACTTCACCAACACACGCTGAGGTTTGATGGCAACAGCTGATGATCACAAGATGAGCACCCATTGTTGTAGTACGTGGTACTAACGGGCTTTTACCCCGCCGCCCTCACCTACACATTATTGTAAACCTATGTCCACCCCTCGACCTGTGCTTATATCTTCCCCTGCTATCTCCCTCACCTTTGCACACTGTCTTACCCCCTGCTCTCTCTTTTCCTCCAGCTCACTCTCTTACCCCAGCACCTTGTGTTTCGGATTGCAGCCCTGCTCCCCTATACCCCTCATACTTTCCCCTACCTTCCCTACTCTCGACTACACCTTTCCCTCACGTTACCACTAGCCCCCCCTGCTTTGTTTTGCTTACTTCCGTTTCCCCAAACTGTGTTCCCGCACCCTTCCGATTTCGTGTAATAATTCTGCACTTCCCACATCTTGTTCCAATGTTCTCTTTGCAAACCCCTCTTATCAACCGCGTTTACAGGCTTGTATGACCAAGCCATATGTCTATTGACCGTGTACGGGCTCCGCAAATACAGGCAGAATGGCTTGGTCATACAATTCCTCACCCGCCTTCGCATTGCGCATACTTTTGGTACGTGGCCCTAACCTTTTCTTCCCTCTGTCACCCTAGCCGTTCACTGTGCACCCAGTGTGTGATCCCTTCACTGTGCACCCAGTGTGTGAGCCCTTCATTGTGCACTCAGTGTGTGAGCCCTTCACTCTGCACCCATTGTGTGAGCCCTTCACTGTGCACCCATTGTGTGAGTATATGTACCTATCTGTAGTGCGAGCATTGTGAACAGTGTGGGCGTTTAGTGGGCGTTTATGTTCCACCAGGTGGGTGTTTAGTGTGCGCCGATTGTATGAGTGTTGCCCGCGGGCATTGGGAGCAATGTGTGCACCAGGTGAGTCAACCCCGCAGCCATCGCCACGCTGTGGCTCCTGTCCTCCTCTTCCGTTCTGCTGTCACGCCCTCCCCATTCCTTCGTTCTTATTTTTCCAACACTCTCATTCCTTTGCCGTCCTTTGTTCTCTGTACATTCCTTTTCTACTGTCGCCTCCCTTATTCCCGCCTCTCCGTCTATACCACCTTCCGTCTCCCCATTTACATGTGCTGTACTCGCCCAGCCACCAGTGGGATTGCTGCAAGCAGACAACAACTGCCCGCCCTGGAGGCACTACCAGTGGGCTTAGTGCAACTCGTGCCCACTCCCCTCTCTTCCCCTCTTCCCTCTTCTCCTCTCTTCACCCTTCTACCCCTTCCCCTATCATCGCCCCTCTCCTCCCGTGTAGTACTCGCTTCAACCACCGGTCGGGTTGTTGCGAGCGGACAACAACTGTCTATTTTCATATCTCTACACCTCTCTCACTTCCCCTCCCCTCTCTTCCCTCTAGTAGTAGTACTCACTCAGCCACCAGTGAGGTTGCTGCGAGCGAACAACAACTGCCCGCCCTGGAGGCACTACCAGTGGGATTACTGCACCTCTTGCCCTCTATTCTCTCCTCCTGTCCTCCTATCTCCTACCCCTCCCCCTCTCCCCCACTGCAGTACTCACTCCATCCACCGTTGGGCTTGCTGAGAGCAGACAACAATTTCCCACCCTGGAGGCAGGACTTACGAGAGGTGCGTTGGTGCGCTTCTTCTTGCCCCTGCTCCTCTTTTCCTTACGAGAGGTGCGTGCGTGACGTTTGAGTACTTACTTCAAGGCGTGTTGGAAGAAACCTGTGGGGTTTGCTGCGGGCGGACAACTTACTCCGCTGCTACATCCTTCGCCCATCTCCTTGTAACAATTCCCCAGTTCACCTTGGTTTCTTGGCCTTCCCCTTTGCGCCCTTCTCCGAAATTTATCTGTAATCCTCCCCCGCTGCTCCTCCCTACGGCATCGTGGAGGCAGTCAAAACTCCGGGCTTACAGTGCTTAGCTTGCTCTACTTCCAACAACACCCTCTTCCACTCTGCTTGCTCTAAACCCTCCTCCTATCTCCCTTCCAGCCTCGTTGCTCCGTATCCCCCTCCCATCGCCCTACACTCTAAGCTTGCTCAGTTTCTTCCTGATCACGGCAATTTTCCCTTGCTCACTATGCACCCCCCTTTGCTCTGCTCTCATTCCCTACAGCCCTACTCACAAACTTCCCCCAAGCTCACTATCTTACCCCTATTCTATCTTTTTATCCTTGCGCTCTCCCATCCCCCTTTCTCACTCTCTGCCCACCCTCACTCTGTTGCCCCCAGCTCACTCTCTCCCACTTGCTTTCCTCTCTTACCACAAAGTTATGTTTCTCCCCTTCAACCCTGCTTCTCCTCTCCCCCCACTTCATCCTCCCCCAATTTCCCATCTATTCCTTCAGGTCTCATGCTTTATATCGCCTGCTTCCATTCACTACATTCCCGCAGTCCCACAAGGTGATAGCGAAAGCAATATTCCATTCCCCCTATTTGTTCATATTGTTTTCCGTTTTGCCATATCACTCATTTTCCACCGCAGTTACAGACTTGTATGACCAAGCCATTTACAATGTCTATTGACTTAGTACGGGCACTTCCAGTACAGACAACATGGCTTGGTCATTCAATTCCTCCTCGTGTTTGCCATCCGCGAAGTGTGTATATCCGCGTCACTATGTAATTCTCCCATACACTCCTTTCTCAGAGTTTGTCCATGATCTAATGATCTCAACCTAGAATACTAATGTATATGATATGTTGCATATGATCCCAATGAAGATTAGCACGACAATGGTTTTGTGCGTTATGTTTTTTTCCATCATGACTCGTTTTTTACCATTCAATCTTGCAACCCAACGCCTTCGGCATATCCGCGATACCCAATGAGTTCAATCAAGCTTTATTGCGAGAGGGACAATTCACGAGCCAAGCGGGTCATCATGTTAGTGCGTCCATGAGGGAATATGCTAGTATCACATAACGATGGTCCACGAACTGATGTCTTGAGTAGTTCGACACTCGTTTGATCGGTATGTGGGGGTCTCTAACTAAGGCATCCATCGTTCTTGCTGGACGGGCGACGACAATCGACGCTGAAACCGCTCGTCAAGACGTTGCGTGATTTTGCTATTCTGTATTACAGATGGGTAGAGATGTTTGCACTTGCGTGTGTTCTGTTTGCACTGGTCATCTTGTGTGCTCGGCTCTACCAGCGGCTATAAGCTGAAGCCATGAATTTGGGAATTTGACTGTCATGGAACCACGAACCGAACGGATGTCACTTTATGCTATTAACAAGTACGCTTGACGACCTAAACTCTCGTCTGGATTCAAAACAAGAATGGCCATGAAGCTTCGTCTGCTAGTTTCAGGGGTTTGTGTGGTGCTCGTGCACCAGACACGCGTTCAAAGATGTCCGTGAACGCTCTAGCGTGACATCTCATTGACAGCGTATATCTCACGGATTCCCGAGAGTCATGTGTACAAGGATATTACAGGAACCAGCAACGAAAGTGGTGGAGTGCGATACTTACTCCTGAATATGACACTTACAATTAAAAACGCTAATTGCTTTACATCTAAATTTGCCTGACAAATATCTTGACCAACGTAGCAAATTCAGGAAAATCAACCCCCTGTGCGGTTGACGAGCACTCCGCCATAATGCGTCCAGGTTGAATGGGGCACCAGGCCATGTGGGCCCTGATGACACACCTGTGGGGACTCCACTGCCCGCACCTCCCAAATGTGCTCTACCACCGCCAGACTGCCCAACCTCATCTCCTTGATCCACCACTAATGGATACTCAATAATCTCTTGTCCCGCAAGAGGCCCCCTTCCCATCCTGGCGTCTGCGTTCCCAACCACCACACCCTCATTCTGTCCACTATAATTGATGCCTAATCCCAAGCCTACATCCACATCGCCGCTCCCCAAGCCCATGCCTACATTGGCATACCAAAACCCGCCCCCCATTCCAGCACCACTGCCCAATCCCATATTGGAGCCTGGCATTCCAGCTACTGGAGCCCCGCCGCCACTAAGTCCTCCACTCCCCACTCCCATGCCCACACCATCAATCCCTGCACCAATCCCCGCTCCCCTGCCCACACCCCCAATCCCTCCTCAAATCCTACTTGCACTCCCACACCACCAATCCCTCCACTCCCCACTCCCCTGCCCACACCACCAACCCCTCCTCCACTACCCACCCCCATGCCCACACCACCAATCCCTCCTCCACTCCCCACTTGAACACCCACACCACCATTCCCTCCTCCACTTCCCGTTCCCCTGCCCACACCACCAATCCCTCCTCCACTACCCACTCCCATGCCCACACCACCAATCCCTCCTCCACTCCCCACTTGCACACCCCCACCACCAATTTATGCACCAGTCCCCACTCCCATGCCCACACCACCAATCCTCCTCCACTCCCCACTTGCACACCCACACCACCAATCCCTCCACCAGTCCTCGCTCCCTTGCCCACACTACCAATCTCTCCTCCACTCCCCACTCCCCCGTCCACACCACCAATTCCTCCTCCAGTCCCCACTCCCATGCCGAACCCCCCCATCCCTGCCGGTGGATCCCTGCATCCCCAACCCCATGTCACCACTTTCCAGACCGCCGTTGTCTAGGCCTCCTCGAACCTCTTCCCTGTCGTCCTACACACGAGACCCTGGCATCTCATCTCCAGCAGGGCGACCCCCTAGCCCGGCACTCTCCGCGCTCATACCCCCGCCGACACCATGTCCACTCTCATGCCCAAAGCGTGTTCCCGCAGCCCGTGGCGGAACGCCCCTCACACCAGTCCCGAAGCCAAACCCTCTGCTCCCACTTGTCCCATACCTTCCGAAGCATGTCCCACTTCCCACCCCTAAACCAGCACCCCTGAACTGGAAAGCGCCCGCGCCAGGCCTGCTGCGTCCACTTCCTCCACCCCTGATACCACCGTCTGAAGCATGGCCATAAGCAGCACTCCCCTGGCCCCCCTCGTCACCCGTGCTGCCCGGCCCACCTCTGAATGTTCTGCCGAACACTTGAGCGTTCGGAGCATTCATGCCGTCAGTCCATGCGAGTCCGCCCCCGTTCCTGTTGTAACTTGCCCCAGCATACGTTGAGCGCGCGCCAGGGGGTGGGCGTGCATCGGGTGGAGGGGGAACGCTCGCAGCGGGAGGGACCTCAGGGCCAAAGAGGTAAAGTGCCATTTCTGGGAAGTCGCGTCTGCATGCTGCGACGAGGGCAATCCACTTTGTCTTGCAGCGGCACTTCACCAGCCTTTAAAAAAAATGTCTGCGCCTTCTCCTTGAACCACCGTAGATCTTGCTCAAGGTGTCGCGCGCAGAAGTAATGCAGAACGTGACTCGGCATCATCTCACGAGCTGCTAGAACCAACCCCTTGTCCTTGTCGCTGATCATCGAGGCATTCTCGCGCTGCGTCCACTTCGGGAAGCCATCGATGAAGTGCTTGAGAAACCACGACCAAGCCTCCTTGTTCTCCAATTCCTCGAGACCCCAATCTAGCAGCAAGACCTTCTAGGTTGCAATCAAGCGTGACCGCGACCAGTAGCATTGCCTTGTGCAAGCTAATGAGATGAGTCCTGTCAAAAGCAATGACTGGGCGGCAAAATTGTAGTGCATGAACGGCTGCAAATGGCCAGACAAAGAAGCAGTGAAAGCATCCACCGAAGGTGTCCAGATGCACTTTCACCTCTGGATCAATGACACGGAAGCGATCGAGAAGCCATGGAACCTAACAGAAAGACTCCTTCCAATCTCCGTATTTCTCCCTGATGATGTATTCTCGCAGTCGCCATGCCTGCCAGTAGTTGAATTCAAACTCCCCTAATCCCTCCATGAGTCGCATCAGCTGGATTGGCGGCACAAAGGTTCGGCGCAAACCATGTTGCCATAAGTTCGCATCATCACTGGAAACTTGTTCGCAATCCCAGCTGCATATTCTTGCCGCCACTCCATCTTACATGCATGGGCCTCGTGCGGTATAAGGGACGTAATGCGCCAGTTTCCCGTTTCACGATCCACTGCGTATGTGCAGCACCATAGGCATGCTGGAATCGCTCCATCTGCAGTCGCTTTACAACCAACTACAATCGCCTGCTGCTTTGTCATAAGTACATGATAACCAAACTGATGGTAGAGCGCAAATTCTTGCAAGGCCGCGAAACACTTATCTCGTGATGAGTAGAGGTGGGCTAGCTCAAGTGATGCGTTGTCGTTGGGAATTTGTAAACGTGAATCGAAATCGCTCACAGAATACATTGCGCGGAGGGCTTGCAGCCTACTCCTAGACGCCATGGCCCTAACACATGGCAATAATCCCTAACGCGTGTTACCGTCAAGGAGTCTGTGTGAATAAACTCGATCAGAGATAGTCGCTAAGAAAGGACCTAAAGTACTCTGACGGTTCATGCACGGGTGCTAAACCGTCGTGAAAGTCGTGAAGTGGTACTGCTGTGCTATTCGTGGTAGATCTGTACTGTGCGGTTGTTCCGGAAAAGACAACCCTGAGAATCGCACAAAAAACGCCAACTACCCCATCGGTGTGCAATTTGTCCAGAAACGCTGAAGTTTCCGATACCAACAGACACGCGTCAACATTGCATACATATCGCGACAGTATCTAACACACACCAACCTACAGAAATTGAGAAACCCTAAAGCAGTATCAATACTTGCGATAGAGTGACCACTTTGTGTTTTCAAGTGTAGAAAAAGGGTCGGCCGATCGGATTTAGGGAATTCAAACATCGTGCATGCGTGACGAACGAGTGGTCAATAGGATTGACACAAATTTGAAAAACGTCAGGTCGCGCAATTAAGTCACCGATTGGCCAAGCGAATTCGAAATGGTTGGGATGTCAGCCGTCGTTGTGGATCGAACGATTGTAATCGAAATGCCGCACTGAAATTTGCTGATGAATGAAAACCGTCAATATAGCAGATGTAGATCGGACGGTTATGACGCTGGAGATGTTGGTAGGAATTCTGACACGATGGCAGATGTTGGTGAGTCGGAAACCGTCAATGTCGATAAACCCATCGCGAACGTTCGTCGTGCTGAATGTGTCAGACGAAACTGCCAAGTAAAGTGCAAAAGCACTCTTCCTCCCACCCCCCTTGTAGTCTAGGGTAGACCACCAATGTAGCACGACTGCGCGGGCACAAAACTCCAGCCACTCTTCTAACCTATCATTGGTGCGAGGTATTTGCCGCTTGCTGAAAGTGAACCCATTCCTAAACGTCTATAGTCGTGACTCCAGATCTTGCTGTCGCAAAAAAGAAAATATATATATATATATAAACAAAAAGCGATATTATTGTAGCATATCAGCGACGTTTGGCGAAAAGGGCGGATCACGATACTGACCAGTGTCAGACTTGAAAACTCCATCTAGGTTGCTCGTATCGGGCTCTGATTACGTCAGTACCACCAGCGATTTTGTCGTAACTGGCTTAGGCATTTGTTGTGGTTCTCCGAAAACTCCCGGACAGGGGCGAAATATGGCTGGTCGACCTCCCCCTGACCTCGCAAATCTTTTTTTTCAAACTCTAGATTGAACTGCAATTGATGTCAGCGTCATTGTCAGCGTTTTCGTGACTCCCTGAATCCTCACGGGCAGGGGCGAAAAACAGCTGTCGCCTCTCCCCCCTTCTTTTTCAAAACTTCTCATAGTGTTGTTGCTTGTACCCCTGAACAGCCTCGCAACTATATGGCTACTCCTTCGCATGAAGGTTTTTTTGCACGGTTAACCAAGCGCCATGGCAATCCCACCGTCTTCATCGAAACTGTCAGCTACACCGCCGAACTCTGTTAAGACCCGACACCTAATACTGCTTCTGCAATCAGTAAGTGTCGGCGATGGCGTACCCCGTAAAACTCATTCGCATGTAAGTGCATCTTCGAAATGTTCGGACGTGTCTAGTGTGCCCGCTCGGTCACCCAGTTGTTTCCTTCGGTTAACCAAACTGGGTTTCCCCCGTATTTGGAGGCAGTATGGAACCAAGGACTTTCTGGGGATATTCCGAGACGGAATTTCACGGAACCTAGCCCGCATCAACGCCATCGATCTCGTTGTTGAACTTGGCCAGACCACTTTGAAGTACACGGCGATGTCGTTTGGCGAGCTCACGTTCACTTGTCTCCCATCTTCTTTTTATTTATTTCACCCCCCGACAATATCGACGAGCCAACGTTCACCCAGCAGCCGCGTTTGGTATAACTCCGTGTTGCTCGCGATTTTTCTGACACTCGGTGAAGGCGCAAAGGCTATCGTGGTCGAAGAGTTTGTATCATATGAAACACTCAAAACGGCCGCTTCGTTGCCCACCTCGTCTATCGCACTTAAAACTCAGCAGTGTTACGGGGTCGTTTTTGTCAGAATGTAATGGTTGTCTAGCCTGCAGTGGGGTACTCTATAGCGAGTACAGCCCTTCTAGGGCTGGCTATATGTATCCCTATGCTTGTTAGTCAAAATCCTCTTTGCCTATTTCTCGTTTTCGCCTAGCCTGTTTAACATGCTATCAGAGCAGGTCGACCCTCCTGGGTCGATCCTGTGGGTGGTCCCGCCCGTTAGCTTCCGCTGCTGTTCTGTGTGTCGCGCGCCCCGTGGCGCGCGACGGATTTTTCTTCCCGCCACGCGCTCGGGGCGCGTGGCGGTTTTCTGCTCGCCGCGCGCCTCGAACGCGCGGCGGTTTTCTGCCCGCCGTGCGCCCCGAGGCGCGCGGCGGTTTTCTGCCCCGTCGACCGTGGCGTCGCCCCCAGGAGCCCGTCGCGTCGCCCCGCAGGCCCGTCAGGTCGCCCCCGGGAGCCCGTCGCGTCGCCCTGCAGGCCCGCGCGTCGCCTCCCCTTCCCGTCGCCCGTAGCGACGCCCTGGGGGCCCGCGGGCCGCCCTATCCCGTCGCCTCGTCGCGGCGCCCTGGGGGCCCGCGCGTCGCCCCCCCCCCCCCCCCCGTCGCCCGTCGCGGCGCCCTGGGGGCCCGCGCGCCGCGCCCCCTCCCGTCGCCCGTCGAGGCGCCCTGGGGGCCCGCGAGCCGCCCTACCCGGCGCCCGTAGCAGCTCCCCAGGGACCCGCGCCCCGCCCCCCTTCCGCTCGCACGCCGCCCCTACGCGCCGCCTGCGTTTAGGGTTTGGGGGTGGCGGGTATGGGGGTGCCGGGTGTGTGCGCCGTCCCCTCCTCCTCCTCCTTCTCCGTCTCCCACTGCTGCAGCTGCCGCTGAGGGGGGTGGGTGTGTGGGAGCCGAAGGAGTGGTGCTAGGGGGGTGTAGTGGGAGTGGAGCTAGGGGTGCAGCAAGGGGGTGTGTGAAAAGGGGGTGGGACAGCTGGGGGAAGTTGAGAGGAGGCCGTCGACTTGTCGTCCGCAGCGCCTGAAGTCCAGGGAGCCACGACCCCCTGTGGCCTGAGTAGTCCGGGGCTCTGCGCCCGGTAGCTACAGTGTGTGCACTCCTGGGAGCACAGCGAGCCAGCTGCGACCCCCTGTCGCCGTGTAGTCCGGGTTTAGCCTGGTAGCGACAGTGCGGCACACTCCTGCTGCCCGTGTGTCTGCAGCTTCAGCCGTCGCCTCTCATCTTCTTGCTCCCACAGTTTCTCCTCCTCCTCACTTGCCCTCTGTGATAGCCTCTAGCTTTGCTTGTATTTGTGAACCTACTGCTCTGCCTGCTTGTTGTGTTGATTGTACCCCACTTTGACTATGGGGGTGTGTCAGAATGTAATGGT